TTGGCCATCAAAATTCCTGAAAACAGAAATGCAGTTCTGAGAATTTTGGGGCTCATGAATTTTTTCTCTAATTTCATCTCAGATATTTCAGAATTGATTAAGGGTTTAAGGAATTCAACTAAAAAAAATCAACAATTTTTTTGGATACTCGAACAAGATCTTGAGTTGCATACATTGAAAACTATAATATCAATATTACCCACTTTGAAAAATTTTGACCCCAATTTACCTTTTGTAATACATTGTGATGCGTCTAGTGAAGCACAGAAGAAGCAATTAGCACAGATTGAGGGGAAACTTCTGGCCATAGTTTTTGCCTTCAAAAAATTCCATTATTTTGTTTGTGGATTTGAAGTGAAAGTTGAGAGCGACCATAAACCATCAATTTCCATATTCTCGACAGATTTAGGTAAAGTATCTGCTCGATGCTTCTCAAACTATTGAAATACAAAATCAAAATAGTCAATTCACCAGAAAAAAAAATTGTTGTAGCTGATACTTATTTCTCGTTCCTTCATAACAATGAAGTTGAGGATGACCCAGAGATAGAATATAAGATACACATGCTTTACATTAATATTTCTATGTATCCAAAAAAAATAATTCATCAAAGAGAAACAGATGATAACACTTCCTCAAATTAACAAAATTAACAAAATACGTAGAAAATGTAGTGCAAAATTGTGAAACCTGCCAAAAATATAAAAATCAAAGAAAAACACTAGTGAGTCATCCTTAACCTACTCGAATCTGGCAGTATATTTTTTAAGATTTCTTCGAATTTGATAACAATTATCTTCTCATGATGGATTCCTATTTCAATTGGTTGGAAGTAATAAAAACAAAATGTGCTGACAATGTCAACAACTCTTTTAAGGAACTTTTTTCTAGATATGGCTTTCCAGATATATTTCACTCAGATAACGTTCCATTCAACTCGTTGAAGCTGAAAAGATTCGCTGCGGAATGTTCCTTCGAATTAATGTTCAGCAGTGCTTAGCACTATCAATCATACGGTCTTGCAGAGAGATATGTTGGTATCGTTAAGGGCAAGTTGAGAAAACTGAATGACGAAAATAATGTTTCGTTCTCCATACTAGATTATCACAACACTTTTTTACCTGAATATTACTGGAGTTTTTTCCCAACACCAAATCGTTATTTTTAACACCTCGACACGTGTTTCGATCACCAAGTGATCATCTTCAAAGAGGAAGATTAAAACTAGAAGCTGATGCGAGCTAACCCTATTTATGCTATAAAGGTAACCCAACACCAAATCGTTATTTTTAACACTTCGACACGTGTTTCGATCACTAAGTGATCATCTTCAAAGAGGAAGATTAAAACTAGAAGCTGATGCGAGCTAACCCTATTTATGCTATAAAGGTAACCCATCAAGGCGTACTAACCATAAAGGTATACCAACTTAAATTAATTTTACAATTTTGCCTTATCTATTATTTTACAATATATGTTTATATAAAACAATTTTCAGCTATATAAAAATTAATTTCACAATATTGCCTATCCAAATTTATTTTTGCAATGTGTCCTTATGTAGTAATCAGTAAACCCAACAACATNAACTTGCTGTTTTCGATTTTCTAGATAACTTTTGAATAAACAATGTGCTGTACCTCTAATTCCCATATCTTCTAGTACTTCTAAAAGTATTGAATGATCAACGGTGTCGAATGCCTTCGCCAAGTCTAGAAAAATACCTATTACTGGTTCTCCTTTATCTAGGCTATCGTAAATAGTGTTTGTTAAGGAGTGTATCGCATCTTGAGTAGATTTATGTTCCCTAAATCCGAATTGAGAGTTAGAGAGTAATTTATTTTTTTCAAGGAATGTATTGACTCTGACCTTTATTACTTTCTCTAGAACTTTAGCTAGACTTGATATCAAGGATATCGGTCTGTAATTCGCTACAGTATGTTCATCTCCAGTCTTGAAAACAGGTGTAACAATGCTATTTTTGAAGGCGGTTGGAAAAAGGGTTACCTTCATAGCATAAATAGGATTAGGTTCCAAAGGTTCCAAACAGTGCATCATAAGTAATTTTTTTTTCCTCAAAATAAATATTCCCCTACTCAAGTATTTCTCCACAGAATTTTGAAAAACAAATTCCACGTCAGAAACAAACTCAAGCCTTCCATTATAGATATCAATTTATGTAAAAATTAAATCAGGAGATGTATATGCTCAACAAAAACATTACTGTGCTGAATTTGCTGAAGATTTACCTGCATTGAAAGTAGGAGGTAATGTAATGGTTCAGAATGATGAAACTCGAAGAGAAGGTCAAGTGGAAGATCTTACAATGTAGTTGATGAGACTGGAAAAATGTTTAGAAGAAACAGTAAATAGTAATAGTAATAAGACTCAGTTTACCAGTTCTTTTGATATATGACTATAAATTTGATGATGAGACTGGTCATTCTCTTCCTCCTGATTCAAACTGTCTGCATTTATCAAATATCGATCTCAATTTTGATAACAGTACATCTGAAGCCAATTACAATGAGTTTGAAGGATCATTTGGAAAATAATCTGTACTGTACTATTGAGATCAAATAAGGAGAAGAATCGTAGAAGACCTACGTATTTCAAAAATTATGTTACTGATTCATATTCATATGATGATTGATTTATTAATATTGGAATATATTTTCCTGATTATTTTCTCATTGTCATCAGTTTCACTTTTCTTTATAAGGGGAAACGTGTTATATGTGTTTATTACCCTGTATAAATAGTACACTAGGTGGTTGCCATAACGAGGATAATAAGAATAGAAGAAACAACTTTAAGTTACAAAAAGTGTTACAAAACTAAAAGATAATAGAGTTTGTTCCCGTTTATTATCGTTTCTCTACCATTGGATCCCAAATCTGCGAATTCTTTTAGATAATGACAGTATGCATTTCAATTGTATGATATGAAATTGGTACAAAATTATTATCTTTATGTCTTCTCATATTGATTATCTGATAAAAGTTTTTTCAAATGCATTATATTTAGCCTAATCTCCTGTAGAAAAAAGCATGTGAGAAGCGAGCACTCATACGAGAACTTTTCTTATCCCATTCTGTTTGTATTTACTGAACGGTTCCACTTTTACCGTTAACATACTTCGAGATTGAGTATGCTCAATCAACTTTTCAATTTCCCATACGCTTCTAGTAATATCATTCAAATAGCAATAAAATAAAACAAACATCACGGCAATGTTCCGTATCGACTGAACTCTCCGGCACTTTGCCATAGGCACGCTAAGCCAACATATAAATCCCCTTTTCGATTTATCCTGGTACGAAATGCGTATAAAGCGATTTGTCTCATGTAGCCTAATAGATCAATTCATCCCAGACCCTATTCCATTGAAACATACATAGGGATTCAATTAGGTTTCTTCTGCCAGACAAACGTGGTGGGTATCGAGTAGCTTCTTTTCATGGCCGTTTCTCTTATCTACTCGTTGAGATTGAATGAATGATCTGGAGGACAAAAATATTTTTTCTTTATGGGGACGTTTCTCTGATTCAGGAAAGAAGTTTGATACTTGATTGTGCCTAGACAGGATGGCAACTTTTTGATGTGGAAACTTTCAAAATGAAGAAAATTCACAATCGTTTGATTCAGCATTTGTTTTCCCCTGGTGTGTTAGAAAATCGTTCCGAATTGATGTTGTCGATCTATAATTCCAATAGATCATATCACAGTGATTTCACAAAATACTAAAATGAATTGTTATTCCCAGAAAACTTTGACTATTTCATCAATAAAATAAGGAAAAACGAGCACTTTTCCCAATAACCAAAAAACAATAGTAGTCTGTATGCCAACTTACCAAGATGGCATCTTCAGAAGATGAAGAAAACTAATTCCAAACTCTAAAACTCTTTGTTTATATGTAATAGGGTACACTTTCACTTTCCGTTACACATCAATGAGTTCGGTTAAAAATATGCACTAACTTTTTTTGTGGGAGTACCCTCAAAAAGTAATTCATAAAAAAGATTATGATAGGCTCTTTGGAGCCTATAACTGAATTCTCCATTACACATAATACGAGAGTGATTCAATAAATAATTTTCGTCTAGATTTTCGAAACTTTTATTTTAGCTCTTTACTTTTCGATTCAGCCCCATGAAAGTTTGGGAAAGTATTTCTGGGCCCTCATTAAGAGATCAAAACTCAGTCGATGAATAAAACTGTTATTGATTTTAATAATAAATTATTTCAAAAAAGAACCAGCACTATTTCTGACGAGAGGAATGGGTTATATTTTCAATTTTCTTGGGCAGTTCAATATGAGCTTGGATATTTTTTCCAACACCTAGTAACCTGGTCCTGATATTGAGGACATGTTTTAAGGTAGTCATTTGATTATTTCAGGTTCAACGTGAGTGCTTCTACTGCAACTCACGAAAGTTGCGATTTTGTATATTATTCAGTGAAAATCACAAAATGAATTGTTACTTAAATACGCCAGACTATTCAGTATAACAAAACTGTCTTGTTTTCGTTGTGTTCTCATTGGCTAGCCCTGTTTTCAAACATGCTCAAGAAAATCAAATGAAAACCTACTGATTGCTTGTTGATAGAATTGTGTGAGAATGAGAACTGTATAAGTGAGTCATATGAGTTTTCATCATCAGTACCTATATACAAATTGACTTGTGTGTTTTATCTTTTATCTGTGTGATACTTTCTTCATAAATTATCCTATTTGATTGAAATAAATGATATGAAACATAGAGAGAAGAAATTCCTGACTGATAGGCCAATATGCCATAGTCCAATCGAACTTCTTCTGCTACTCCGGCAAACGTTTTCAGTGGTATGAGATATCAATGATATACTGAAGACGTCTGGCGCAGTAGCAGACTAGAGGTTTGGTATTAGTTCCATCCAACCACGAGCTACCAGCCCGGATTTTGTTGTCTCTAAAATTATTGGTATAGTTCCAAAAAAAAATGTTTTTTCTTCAGCTTCATACTCATGAAGTCGTCGAAGTGTGTGCCAAAATATTATATCAAGTGGAGCTCTCCCGCAGCACTCTGGAGCAAATGTGGGGTTTCAGTGTGGAGGCGGAATTAGTCGAAAATGCTGACCGACAGGACGAACTTTGCTGTTACGTTAGTCGGGTGGAGGACAAAAGTGTGGCGATGCAAAACGGTCAGTATCATGATATATTTTTTTTGCTAATTTTATTATTCTTGAATGGGACTGCACAGTCTTTGCTATTAAGTGAAATATCTAATGAAAAAAAAAGTAGGGAACCATCACGACAAATCACTGTAAACAAACAAAGATCAAACATGTAAGTAATGGAAATCTATCATCTACATATATCAATAGCTTCGATTTTCATGAAAAGTGGAGTAGAACTATCTACATCAGCGTTTAATCTATTCGTTCAAGTTATATGTTCTTTCCATCCTCTTTTCGAGCGGAGCAACTCTGTTGAGATTTATGCACTGATTTCCCAATGCATGAACTTTCTCTATAGTTGCTTTAATATTTCATACTATAATGAGGCATAAAAATGAAATCAAAAATTATTATTATTATACAAAAATCAAAGTAGCTCAATTAGGATATCTTATGACTCACAAGAATTAAAAAAATGACTTTTCATTAACTATTGTATGAAAATGTTTTGTGAAAGGTATATTGACAGTAATTACGTTTAGATCAAACAAATTGTTGAACGATGAAGTCAAAGTGTGACTCAACGACTCGAATAATTTTAAAAACTATAAACATCAGATTCTGCTTGTTACATGTCAACTAAAATAAACCAATATAATAATTTATAAATTGTCGACTTCGTTCTGAAATTCATTCTGACAATTCTGTACGTCAATAATATTCCATTTTTTCTAATCGCTAATGTAAACAATGAAAATATAATAAATTTGTTGTGTATTAGATTAGCTTATTGAAACATCATATCACGTTACGATTTCATTTAACCCACATGGAAATCACAAGGTGATTCAATTAATAGTGAGGAAAAATTCATTCATTTAGATATGAGCAAATGTCAATTCATGTAACCCAAATGTCAATTCATGTAACCCAAATAATTTTTGGGCAGTCCGTGAAACCAAAATCAAAATGTTCTAATATGAAATTTAACACAAAGCAATGATACATTCATGATTATAGATAATATTTATATTTTTTTGCCTTCAGAACACATTTGAATTCTGGTAAAAATTTCATGATGAGCAGCTACAGTCCATCGCGTATTTCTGATATGTACCGCTCTTGATGGAATCAAATGTCAAATCACTTAATGATAATAATAATAATAATCGTCTTTATTACTACAACCACACAAAAAAATAACAATATCAAGTTCTAACTATATATATGAAGTTACAGTGAAAGGCGAAGTTCAATTTTCGCAGCTATGCAAATAACACTTTCCGTGAAAGTATCTATAGAAGAGAGACAAATTTTCAAATTTCTTCGATGTTCCAGACTATCAAGGTTGCAAGTGATTTTCGTGTCTCCAATCAGGTGGATGTCTCTTTTCAGGATGGAATCTAGCAGCTTCAGGATATGCTTGGGGGCGGAGCTCCATACATGGGAACAATACTCCAAAGAAAGTCTGATCTGAGCTTTATAAAACATCAAAAGTTGCTGAGATGTGTACAATTTTCTGGTTCGGAACAGAGTTCCAAGCTTTTGAGAAGCAGCCTTCGCAATTCCAGCCACATAATTGTGCCAAGACATATTCGTGTCCATTTTAACTCTCAACAAATTTATCGAAGCAGAGCGGAATTGTATGACCTGACATTATTATATCCGGTTCGGAGACATTTATCCTCATGGAGAAAACCGATGTCTGAGTTTTTGTGGCATTGAATGGAACCTGATTACTTTCACCCCAATTCGTAATCACTTCTAGACCTTCATTAAAATTTGCAACCTCTCAATTGAGTTTTTTCAAGTCGATGATATACAATAAAAATGAGGTTGGAGACAATATGCATACCTGGGGAACACCAGCGTTGATGGTGAAAGTATTTGAGAGATTTTCATCGACGGTTACTTGAAGGGAAGCTGAAGAGCGATACACAAAAATAATCCGACGAACCGTAGCATCGACGTTTGGCCAACAAACCCTCATATCACACACGGTCAAAGGCCTTAAAAATAGCAAGCGCAACAGCTCTTTATTCTCCATTTTTTCCGATTGCGTTATTCTAAATATGGGTGACATACGATCAAAGGTCACATGTTGATCTTTGTTTCCGAAAGCCATATTGATGATCGCTCAAGATGTTGAAACCTTACAAATATTTCACTTTAGTGAAATGAATTACCATAAAATAAACAAGTCATCAATCACACATACTACAAATATGATTTTGACTTTCTCCATGATTCTTGATAGAAGTGATAGCAAAACGACTGGTCTAAAGTTATTTGGAAATTTTTTTTGCCCTTTTTGGGTATAGGCTGAACGCGAGCAATCTTTCGACAAGCAAGAAAAACCCATTTTTTATAAAGCAGGTTGAAAAGTCAGCAAAATACTGGTGCGAGTTCATTTGCGCACTTTTTAAGTACGATGACGGGCACTTCATCAGGGGCAGACGCCTTGTTGACATTGAGCTGTTTCAAAATTTGCCTGACTAGACGCTGTCGTAAGTAATTTACGGCATTGTAGATTCTAGTGTGAGAAAAGTGAGTGATGCCTTTTCCAGAAAATCGACTGTGGAGTGGGACGTAAATTGTTCAACTAGTATACTGGCTTATTCTATGGCTGTTGTTGCAATTGAACCATCCGCTTATGTTAGTGGTGGAATAGTGGATTTTGTGAAGTTCTGATTAACAGCTTTAGCAACTGACTAGTTTGCTTTTTGGCATTGGGATTTTTACGCCACTGCCGGTAGGCGAGATTTTTGGAGGCGACAGCTTCCTCGCATTTTTTGTTGAACCAAGGTTTACTGTTAGAAGAACGTTTCATTGAAAAAGGAATATATGCATCCATGGATGATAGAATATCTTCTGTAACTTCAGAAGCACAAGTTGATGGATCTTTAGAGCTGAAACAAACATCTAGCCAGGGGAAACTTCGGAAATAGTCTTGAAGATCCTCCCATTCAGCTGATCTATAATGTCAAACTTTGCTCGGCTTAGATTGTTCCCCAACATTCACTCAACACTTAAATGAGTTTGTGCTCAGAAGATCTCAATGTAGTGAATGTGTAAATTTCTGGGTTGGTTGTTGGGTATATATCCAGAAGACTAGCGTATTCTCCATCACGGTCAATAATCCTGGTTGGCTCATTCATAATCTGAGTGAGTACGCTGCTTATTGCAAAAGCCCCAGCTTCGCGGCCTTGTTCGTCGTTGATATTGAAAAATTTGAGCCATTCGATATTGTAGAAGTCACCGAATATGGAAATTTTGGCACTGAGATGATTGAATTTCAGAAAGTGTTCGTAAGTGAAGAGAATAGTGCCCTATATCGTGTATCGCTAGGTGGTCAATAAACGCAGCATATGAATTTGGTGATCGTTTTCAATATTATTTTGAACCACATAACATCAACGTTTCGGTGTTCCAGCATTTCCTCCCGTCGACAGGAGAGATCGCTTTTGATGAAAAGAGATGTTTCACAGTTACGTCTGAATCGTGAGTGGAAATCATAGCCATGATATAGACACTTGACGAGTTTGTTGAAACACTGACTTTGGTTTCTGTGAATATGAAGACTTTTTGATTGGAGATGTTGGTGCATCGAGTTTATATTTGGGTTGAATCTTCTGATGTTGCAGAAATTGATTTTGAAGTTGCTATTGGGCCTCTTAGCAACTGCAGCCACCATGCTATTTCCCTGTGGACTGTTGTTAGGAATACCCTGCTGACTGTCAGAAATAGTGGTTTTCGAATAACTTCTGCAGGATGATGCCCTTGAATCAGTCCCCACCCGGAGATCCGATTAGGGAGCTATTCTACCTCAGAAGTATTTTGACCCTAGGAGCGCCATCATGCATTTTTTCTTATATTCCCACCCTTGATGTGGGATGCATAAACCTCTCAAAAAGCTTGTCTCTCGCGCCACCGAATCATCAGGAAAAAATTCCAAAAATCGACGGCCTTCAAACCTGAAATATAGTGATACTGAAATTCTCCCCGGCAAAAAGCCTCAACCACCAACTTAATCTCTAAAATTCCCAATGAAATCCCATAGAAAAAGCAATCTCAAATTGAGACATCTTTCATGAATCATTTCAAGAAGATATTAGTTTATATAAATCATACATAGAATCATATTTTTTCATGTGAGACATCAGTCATTGATCTTCAATAATGCCACCTCAAGAACTCAGATATTTACTACTTATTTACATGTGCAATTCTCAACAACAACAACAATAACAAATCACGTTGACCGAACCATTTTCGTTAATGTGAAGATCTGTCTGATTTTTCTATACACTGGTTCTTTCCATGAAAAGAGAAATTTTATATCCGTTCCATTCATCAAAAGCAAATCATTCAAATGAGATGAACTTTATTGTCAAGGTAACCAGTAAAGCAGGTGACATCGTTACAAACTTTTTCATGAGTTCTTTGATCTAATTGTTTGAAACTTCAGTATTCATTTAACGAGAAATGCGTTTGAGGTTTTGCGACAAACGAGTTGTCGGTTTCGAAAGTTCGAAATGATCAAATATTTCATAAAACTGAACGAACTTTGGAAAACCACTAACCTGAATTTAACTAAGCTTTGACTCTTTTATTCGCATATAATAAGAAGATGAGGATGTGAATTATTTCTCATTATCGAACATATCCTATTATTATATATTCTCAATATAATGTATGTTGAATAGAAGAATGGTATTCATTATTATGTGTAGGTTGTTGTGTAGGTGTATGTATACAGTGCGGTCCATATGTATGGAATAAATTCATTTTTAGCGTTATTATGTTCTATGTGAAAAAAACCTGAAACAGGTCGATTTTTTGTTTGAAGGTGATTGACAATGTTTCGTGATGAATTTCACTAGTTCGGACTTCCATTGTCTATTATATAAAATGATTTGAAATCCCTGAACAATTTAGGTTTGTTCATTGCAAACTAATGGCCAGATCTTTCCCTTACCTCTCATGACTCTTCATCAGGTCCGTCATATTTTCTTCTGAATATATAAAATTAGTATCATCATAAAAAATAACAGAATTGTAGTTTTCCGAATATATATCAAGATCATTGGCATGTATAATAAATAACAAAAGTCCTTACACCTATCCTAGAGGAACAACGTATGTGACAGATTTTAACTGCTTGAAAACGGTTTTCTACGGAAGATTCAATGAGGTTTAGGGGTATTCCGCGTACTCCATAATGAAAAAACTTTTCTATGAAGATATCATGAGAGACACAATCAAAAGCCTTCGAGGGATCACATAATGTGATTACCGTGATTGACAATCATCGAATTTCACCTTCAACTTCTTGGAACTCGAACAAGATTCAAGAACAGACAAGGAATTTTCTTTCAAACCTAGTGCGCATATAGTTTAGTAATGAGTATGATGTGGTCAATTATATCAAAAGCACTCGATAACTCGGAAAAAAAGCACCCACTTTCTTTCTTCGATATAAGATAAGCATATGTTATCTTGAAAATTTTTGTAGACTCATAAAACAAGGACAGTATGTAGTGATTTGCTTTACTATATAATACCACGATAGAATTTACAGGAATAATCTGAAATGAGAACATTCCGGAACATCCCATATCGAAGAAATTATCTGTAGAGAGTTCTTTTGAATATATGAGGGCTAGATTTTTCGCTTTGTAGAAATGTTCATAACAGTCTGGAATATTCGAATGAATTCCACAGCATTTCAGAATATCCTGGAACAGTCTGGAATGTTCAGGAGTAGTCTAGAATATTGAAGAATATCCCAGATCATTGTGGAATGAACAAAGGGGTTATATTTTGTGGTAGCCCTCTATCTTTTTTCTAAAATGAGCTTTCCATTTTCACCTGGAGAGCATGCTCTCGAAGATACGAATGTTGGATTTTCTAAAAATTTCTAGAACATACAGAATATTCTAGAATATTTGAGAGCATCCCGCAATGTTGCATAACATATCGAAATATCCTGATAGGGATTAACATCGTATCCGTCTGAAGAGCTTCCCAATTACCATGACTTTCAACATTGAATGGGTATAGTAATTGAAAGTGATAGAAATTGAAATTGAAAAATAAAACAAATTTGAAATATGTAAAAAAACTAATGATATGGGTACATGTCGGAGTGAGCATATTCCCGATTTGATACATTTTGAATGTAATCATTGACCGAGTGGAAGCAGTGACTCAGAAAAAATTCCTTCAAGTGTTTCTTGAATTTTACAATACTCGGTTTTGTCAGTCTGTGAGAAAAGTAAAATTTGTGTTTTATGACTATTCAATTTAGGTTTGTTCATTGCAAACTAATGGCCAGATCTTTCCCTTACCTCTCATGACTCTTCATCAGGTCCGTCATATTTTCTTCTGAATATATGAAATTGGTATCATCATAAAAAATAACAGAATTGCAGTTGTCCGAATATAAATCAAGATCATTGGCATGTATAATGAATAATAAAAGTCCTTACACCTATTCTATAGAAACAACGTATGTGACAGATTTTAACTGCTTGAAAACGGTTTTCTACGGAAGATTCAATGAGATTTAGGAGTATTCCGCGTACTCCATAATGAAACAACTTTTCTATGGAGATATCATGAGAGACACAATCAAAAGCCTTCGAGGGATCACATAATGTGATTATCGTGATTGACAATCATCGAATTTCACCCTCAACTTCTTGGAACTCAAACAAGATTCAAGACCAGACAAGGAATTTTCTCTTGAACCTAGTGCGCATATAGTTTACTAATGAGTATGATGTAGTCAATTATATCAAAAAACATTTTTGTAGACTCATAAAACAAGGACAGTATGTAGTGATTTGCTTTACTATATAACTCGCAGTGTAATACCACCGTCTCGACTCCTCACGAATAATAACATCGTCATATTATGTTTGCCAGTTCACACAAAAATCAAATATATTATACATATAAACCTTCCTTTTGAATCACTTCATCCGTTGGTTGAAACCAGATCTAAATCCGTCCGGTAGTTTCAGATAGTTTATCAGACAAGGCGAAGGACTTGAATTTTGAAGTCTTATTGTTACCAATGAACATTTTTTATCTTCTATTGATTTGAAAATCTTTCGCTTTCCTTCTCAAATGATTGTCAGAAATATTTTTCAATACTTACTTACATCAAAGTTGAAAACGCTTTCATACATGATAAACTTTTCCGAACAAATTTTAGAATTTGATAGAGTTCATTCGATTCACTGAGTAAATCATTCAATAATGTATTTAACCTCACTTTATAGTTCTTAACTCATTTCAGGTATCATCAAAAGTGACGAAATCATGGTCATCAACGGTGCCATCGTGTCAGATCTTGACATGATGTATCTGGAAAGCGTCCTTCAGGAAGAACTTGCACTGTGTATGATGATGCGATCTTCAAGAGTGGAACCTCCGGACCTCGCTGGTATACTGAGAGCGACGGACGACATCATCGACAGCCTTGTTTGTCCACCGCCACCGTCTGAGCCACCCGTCATCAGCGAAGAAATGATCTCAGGACTCATCGTACCTGCCCCAGGTTGGAGTGAGTAATTATAGTAGTTTGTAGAAATCAGTTTTTTTTTAATGAGAAAATCAACATTTCGAAATGTAAACATGCAAACGTCAGCCAAACATCGGCATGCCTGGGATTCGACTAATTTCAAATGTGGCTCGACTGCAAGTATGAAAGCTTCATCTCAAAAAAAGATTTGTTAACTAGATACAGCTTCGTCTCATGAACAATGCCCCAACGTGTACCATTACTCTCCCTTTTCAATTCGAATGTATAATTCACAAACTACACCGGAAACGATTTGTTCTTCCAAACTTTATTTTGAAAAATATAACATGTTTACCATATCAGCTTTCAATTTCGAAAAATCAGGAGTATATCAATCAAATTGTGGAACTTGTCTTAAGGTATATATTGGTCAAACCGGCAGAACATTCAGGTAACGTATCCAGGATCATCATATGAGCTATGTGAATAAGAAAGATGTTAGGATAGGGCATCAAATTGAAAACGACCAGTTTAGGTAGACTGACTTATATTCGATTATACACGCTATCTTTGTGAATGCTCAGAATCCATTGACAAATATATATCATAATATCTAGTCATTCGAGTACTGATATGATTCATATTCGCAACGTTTCCATTATATAGTTATATTAGGATAAAATGATAAGCTAGAATACAGGGCATTCCTATTTAATGGATAAACCCAATACTTCCTGTCAAAGAAATATTAAATTGAAATCTTTCTTGAGTCCTAATGTAAACCAATGGCCACTCACATTTCTGCAAACTTTGGTCCTGGTAAAGGTTTGGTGAAGGCATCAGCTTGTTTTTCACCTGTCGGAATATATTTTAGTATGATTGTGTTTTGCTCAATCTGTTCTCTCGAGAAGTGATATTTGATATCAATATGCTTTGATCTTTTATAATCAGTCGGGTTATTGGCCAAGCGTATGCAACCGTTACTATCCTCAAATTTACCAATAAAAAAAAAGATCAATACTACTTAGAAGTGATTTTAACCAGATAGCTTCACTTACTGCTTCAAAAAGAGTCATATATTCAGCTTCAGTGGTTGCAGCGACAACTGTAACTTGTTTTCTAGTATTACACGATATAGTACAATTATCAAATGCCTTGAACAAGTATTCTGTCGTACTTTTTCTATCAGTTTCGTTGTTGCCCCAATCAGAATCTATATAGCCAACAATCAGACTGACGTAATCGCATTTAAAATAATATGATACACGGTGCATCATAATTTTCATCAATATTCAAAAGATCGTAGTTCAATTTAGTTTCCAGAGGTGAATTCACCTTTTTACAATCATTCATGTTATATTTAATCAAAATTGAATTCAGGTGAGATTTTTGATCTAAACTAATTTTGTTATCGTTTCTCTCAACTCTTATTCCTAAAAATATTTTATGTTTGATAAGTCTACCATGCGAAATATATTCATCAGATATTGCTCGGGGTTTCATCTGGCTACTAGTCGTGCTTTAAATTTTGTTGGGTAACCATATTCATCATTTTTAATAGTAATCATTTGGAATCTATAATGTTTTTGTTCATAGGTTTAGGCACTAATGTCCACGTTTCATTATATGAAAGTGAATCAAATTCGATTTTTATGGCTTCCTTCCACTGATTTCTATCTTCCTTTTCTCTTATTTCACTGTAAGTTTTAGGTAAGTTGGAATCAAAAGACTTTGCTGACAACATGATATTATAAATATTGTCATCAAGCATTTCATTATAAGAATGATACGGAAGATTCTTAATTCTCTTACCTCTCCTAACATCACAATTAATTTGTTTCTTCACTTCAGTGAATTTTAGATCATTCTCAGTTACTGTATCGGGTTTATTAGTTCTGGAAGAAATTTCATCGTCCAACATCACGTACGACGAAAAATGTTTCAAACTGCATGTTCTACAATTTATAATCATTTGGTTCATATCCAACTAGTATAGCTTTGAATGATTTTTCATCAAATTTATGTTTTCTCGTTCTGTTATGGACATAGGCAGTAAAACCAAACACTTTCAAATGATGTATTTTCGATTTTTTGTTATGCCACAATTCGTATGGTGTTTTATTTATTTGCAATGCTTTAGTGGGAAACATGTTTATTAAATAGGTTGCTGTTTGTACAGCTTCTCCCCAGAATGATTTGTTCATATCGGTAGCAGTAATTATTGTTCGAGCTTTCTCTGTAGAACGATTCATTCGCTCTGCAACGCCATTTTGCTGTGGTGTATGTAGAACTGTAACGTGGTTTGTGATTCCCTTTTGAACGCAAAATTCTCTGAAATCATTCGATATATGTTCTTCACCGTTATCACAATAAAGATTGACTACTTTCGAACTGAAATGCGATTCACTTTTAGCCACATAATCTTTAAATGTGTGCAACACATCTGATTTGAAAATAATTAGATATGTAACTGTATAGTGTGTATAACTATCAATGAAAACTACGAAATAATTTTCATTATCTATTGTAGGTGGATATTACTGGAGTTTTTTCCCCAACATCAAATCGTTATTTTTAACACCTCGACACGTGTTTCGATCTCCAAGTGATCATCTTCACGTGTCGAGGTGTTAAAAATAACGATTTGGTGTTGGGGAGAAAAAAACTCCAGTAATACTCATTACTACACCAAAGGTTCCAAACAGTGCATCATAAGTATTTTAGGTGGTATTATAGGGCCACAAACATATGTATGAATAATGGCTTTTCAATACTAGGTTTTTGTGATGCACTGTTTGGAACCTTTGGTGTAGTAATAAATATTACTGGAGTTTTTTTCCCAACATCAAACCGTTATTTGAACACCTCGACACGTGTTTCGATCACCAAGTGATCATCTTCAAGAGGAAGATCAAACTGTAAAAACATGGAGTCGATTCACAATGTGATCTGTTGCCCCAGAGTGCAAGATTTTCAGATTTTCCATTGTTCAGACGTGGTTTTCAACATCCTGGTCTATAACGATCAGTATAAGTAGACCCACAGTGAAGAATTAATTTTCAGTTTACTATTAGCTACGAAAAAACTACTGGATAGCGACACTTGTGATATTTTCGAAAATGAAGAATCTGTTAAAATATGTTTTTTCGTCAACCAGCTGTCGCCCTCTACGAACAACAACTCTCAAAAGTCGAAACTTGTGCGAGCTAAGGAGGTCTTACCTTTTAACGTGTGATTCCTGAAGTTTGTGAACATCAAATCTTTTCCGGTGTAGTTGGTGGAATTACTATGGATCTTCATCAAGTAATGGCCGAACCAATCAGTAAAGTTGCAACATTGTGCGAAACTATTCTATGTGAGGTATTTTTCATACATATCTGCCGGATTCAATCCAATATTCATCGTGAACTTAGCCGAGAAAGTAATTGTTTTTCGTCATTCATTTTCCAGATTCTACTGTGTAAGAATGTTGGGAAAGATGAACGTTTCGTAATTCATTTTCCTAATATGTATACAAAGTGTTGGCATAGTCATCAGCCTTTTTTCATTTCTATCAGAGTGATGCTACATAGGATGTTTATTTCCGGTTTTTGTTCACGTGGCCAAGCTATTACTAGTTGACATATATTTCTCTCAGACGAAGGTTTCACACATGACACGTTGAAGTCAGCGTGGTCTTGCTGCTGGATGAACGAAAACCATCTGCAAGACTATCTTCAGTGAGAAAACTCTCATGAATATATGTTGGATTAAGTCCTATCGTGCTATCAGCCGGGAAAATAGTCATTTTCCAGCAGGGATTTACCAGATCCTACTGTGTAGGAACGTTGGTGATTGTTCCGTTATTTCATTAGAAAATATTTATTTTCCTTAAACGTAGGTATCTCCTGGATACAAACATCAGAATTATTTCAATTTCTGTTAGAGTTCATTCAAGAGTTGCAGATGCCATTTGCAAAATTTTGAACCCACAGAATTTTTGAGCTCTCAGCAAATTACTGTGAAAGAAAGATGCAAAGAAACCCTGGTGTTTTGTCGAAAACGTTCACCAGTCACCTTCTTTTCTGAATCTCACTATTATCACTAATACTACCACGCAGGAAAACTCGGGGGTGTAACTCTGGCATTTTCGGAGACCGGAATCGAAAAATCACCCATTTGTTTTTGGAATGTCTACGTAACAGAATGATACCAAATGGGGCCTACAAGCTCGTCAGAAGCCCTGAAATTTCTCTCTGTGTAGTTTGCAATGACAAAAAGCAAATATTTCAGCATTTCTTTCTGAGACAGCTGATCTTGCAGATAATTAATATAGCTTGGTTTTCGACTTTGAACGAGAAGACCAAAACTCTGTCGCCAAATGTTCCACATCAAAGCTCCATAATCCATTTTATTCATGTAACTACACAAGAGTAATGCGGTACATAAGGTTTTTTCGGCTCATCAAAATATCTGATATTTACGTTTGTCGGGGTGTCTAGGCTGAAATCCTGAAATCCAAAAATCTGGGGGAATCATTATGATCTGCCTAAAAGGCCTCCCAGATGTAAAGATATTTATCGTTGTATCATCAACTCTGTGTGGAACAGATATTATTTGGAAGTTTTAAGATAAAATCATGATATTCAACATTTGTTCCAAATTGGAACAAATGTCGATTATCTTGATTTTATCTTGGAACTCCGCAGAGTCTTCCCAGAGTACTCTGTGAGAAATGGTTGGCAGTTTCAAAAATTGGAGTGTATGGTGAAATGATACCCTCTCAACTCGGAAATCTCAGATTTTTTTTAATTTGTCGCACTGCGGTAAAAATTTTGGAGAGAGAACTGTAGAAACTTACTCCAATAATTACGTATCTCGCGATGTGAAGAGTATTCACTGATCAATGACGTCGACCAATGACCTCTCCATACCACTCCCCACTCTCTCGAACCCAATAATCACTTATCTCGCGATGGGGAGAGTAGTCACTGATCAACAAAGCCTTCGACTAGTAACCGCTTCCCACTTCGCGTTGTGTTCGAAGACTTTCAAATCACCATGTCTTTTTGGTTAACTATGATTTTTAGTGTTTATGTTTTCATCATGTGAAATTTTTTTTTAAAATATTGTAGATGATGAAGACGAAACTGTAAAATACTGTCGTTGAACTAATACAAAAAGTTTGTTTAACTCTTTTCTTCAACAGAGAAATTTCAACAATTCCGAAATGAGAATCTCACACAGTGATATTGCAGTATATAGTATTATTGAACTTATTTATACTTGACTCCCATGCCATCTTATCATCAAGTGTCAAGATTTATCCTTTTACACTTCACGATTTTAAGTTTAATCTAGAATAAAACTGTAATAACACCGTATAGTCTTGTTTATTCCAGTGCCCCTTGTGGCAGTTACAAATGAAATTCTTGGTAATTTTCTGAATATAAAGTTATTGAAATCTCTAAAAAATATTCAGAAGTTCACATTCTTAATTTTTTTCTCCAGGTAAAGATCGATATTCCACAGACTCCGAAAATCCACCATCATCAATGACCGACTCGGGTATCAGAGTCAGTTCCAGAACCAACTCATTCGAAATAGAGAATTTGCTCAAAACGGCCGAACAGGTAACTGGCTTCTGCCGATCTCCAATAGAAACAAGGAAAGCCATCAGCCCGACTGGTAGTGTCGTCAGTAACACATCTCAAGCTGCCTTAACACCTTCCAGACAGTTGTCGGATTCAGAAAAGCTGCGGAAGGTTATTTTAGAACTCGTGGATACCGAAAGGGCTTATGTAAAAGTGAGTCCCCTTTTCGAAATCTGTAATTTCATATAGTTTCAAACTCCTCACTCAAAACCGATTTTTACTAAGCGAGTTGTTGGTGATTTTTAAGAAATATTCGGGTTATAGAAATATTTTGCTCAGCTCGCTGAAAACGGATCCTGTCTAAAGAAGATCTACCACACCGTATACGTTTTGAAGGTGACTCATCGCACTCAAAACACAATGATCGAAGGAAATAAATGTCAAGTTTCAAAATCAGATGAGTCAGTTTCATCGTATTGATAAAATAGTTGTTTATCAATGAAAACAAAGAATTGAAATATTCTATAAATTATTTAAATTGTACGGCTGCCAAAAAGCAATTGTGCGGGGATTAACGAGGTCCTAGTTTTTGACATGCGATTCCTAACATTAGATGATGATTAGATGATGATACGCCATGGAAATTGATCGTTCATTAAAAATCATTTATAGGTCAATAATATATTGTGCAGCATGTGCAGCAAGTGACCTATTCTATACGATGTGTAGATGATACAATCACACGAGTGTTTACTATTTTTCTTCAAAGCCGGTCAAAACTACATATTTCGTTCATACTTCCTTTGAATATTTTTCGGTGAACATACTTATCTGAATCCCAAAGTAACAGCGGTTATTAACCAGTGACTAACGGCAGTCGCGATAGTGTTATGCACTGAGATAAATGATAAAGTTTTGCTCCCGCAATAACAGACAGCGCTTATAAATTCTGCCTGTTAGCTTTTGTTCACCTGAATGGCACAATCGCACAATAAACACTTGAGCTCAAAAAAAACACTTTATAAAATTGATATCAAACACTGCCACGATCTACGCTACTATTTCTATTGACAACCTTTCTAAAACCACCCCGTTTCCAGGAAATACCTATCAAAATCTAATGCACAAATCTTCTCTTCCGGCTTTAAAATTGAAGCCGACCGGCTATGAAGAAAAATATTTGTCATATTTCCATCAACGTCCAAAATATTGTGACTTCTCTGGTTTTGAAACTATATGCTTCAAATAGTAGTTGTCGTATTCGTAGT